GAGGAAGACGACGCTAAGTCGATGAGTGACCTTGTCGTCTATTGCAGAAACAAAGGTATTCCTGAATCACAATTAAAGGAATTTCAGGGCAGATACCACGAGGAACTGCCGGTCTGGTGGTATACTCGGCAAATTTTCCTCTACGGCATGCTCAATTGTGCCCTTCGGTCACTTGACATGGAGGCCATGACAAAAATGGGTTTCTTCATCCGCTCGCTCCATCGACAATTAGAGAAACTTCATCGAGAACAATCGGGTGCCTCTATGGCAAAGTTCATCGTTTATCGAGGTCAGGGACTTTCCCAACAGGATTTTAAACATTTAGTCGACTCGAAAGGTGGACTTCTCTCGTTCAATAATTTCTTGTCGACCAGTACAAAAGAACAGGTTGCTATGGGATTCGTTCAACGTGCCATGCACAGGATTAAAGACATCGTGGGTGTTGTTTTCATCATGACAATTGATCCAAGTGAAATCTCAGCTTCGACTACTCCATTTGCGCTTATCGACGAATACAGTGCTATCAAAAGTGAAAAAGAAATTCTATTCTCAATGCACACTGTTTTTCGTGTCGATGATATCAAACAGGCAGTCAGCAACAGTCGTCTATGGGAAGTACAATTGACTCTCACAGGCGACAATGATCCACAATTGGCTACTCTTACTGAAAGCATAAAAGGGGAACTCCGTAGATCCACCGGATGGCATCGATTGGGTGATCTAATGCTCAAAGTGGGTCACTTCAATCAAGCCGAAGACCTGTACCACGAATTACTGAAGAACTCGTCCAGCGATAGAGCAGATATCTATCACCAGCTTGGTAGAGTTAAATGGCAGCAGGGTCAACATGAAAAAGAGATTACATTTTATGAAAAATCACTTGAAATCAAGCGAAAAACTCTTCCGGAAGATCATTCTTCATTGGCTCCTACCTACACTAACATCGGCCTTGCGTATGACAACATGGGTAACTACTCGAAAGCACTTGAATTTTACGAAAAAGATTTAGAAATAACGAAAAGATCTCTGCCTCCGAATCATCCCTCATTGGCTATTTCCTACAACAACATCGGTCTTGCGTATGACAATATGGGTAACTACTCGAAAGCACTTGAATTTTACGATAAAGCACATAAAATCTACGAAAAATCTCTGCCTCCGAATCATCCCTC